GTAATCCCCATTAGCACTAACCCCCCTTCTATAGACTATGACGTGTGGGCCCTCTCAGTTAACTAAATGTTTAGAATAAATCTAATTCATATTCTGTCAATGACAGTAGGGCCCCACCACTATTTAGATATTGTTAAATAAACTTATTAAACACATGTGGCTATGACATGTGGGTCCCAGGACCCAGTTCACTAGTCAAACATTGACTGCTCAACTTGTTGACTGGAACCCCCCCCCCCCTGACCCCACCAGTCAGCCTCCGTGGCTAGCACATGGCTGGGTACACTTATGTTTTTCTGTTTAATTTCGAATTAGAAAAATTGCAGAATATTGTTAAAACTTTAGAAAATCATACAGAATAAACCGTAGCTCGAATGAAAAACTTTTCTACATGAAAGTTGCTCAGAACGACGAGGCGAATGCGAACACGCAATCCGTTTGTCCGCCACACATCCCTAGCATAGCAAACATGCAACCTTTCCCCTCCGGTTCATTTGTCTGACAGACGTTTGGAACTGGGAAAACTTTCCCGGATATTTCCCCCTTCGCCAGTATCGCCTAGCTCTGCGTTAGAACACCTCTAGCCCCGCTTATAATCATGTTATGCATATGTTTGCGTGTATTTACTATTTATTCCCCCTCTTCTCTCTGGTAGACCCCGAGACCGCTGCTGATGCCACTGTGATCGACTACGTCGATGAGGACGCTCCTTCTTGTCTGAGCAACCAGGCAAGCCCCCCCCCCCTTGATCATCCCGATATCGCCCATTCCATTCTCTCATGCTTGCATTCGATTTTGATATTGTTATTGTTTGCTCCTATTCTGATGCATAGCCTGCTTTTGTAACCTGCTCATTGTACCTTACCTGCTTACCCTAAACTGCTTAGTATAGGTTGGTTAGTGATCCATCAGTGACCCCCACCTTGTCCTTGTTTCCCCTGCTTCATCATCGATGACTCGATTAACGTGATCGACGACCAGAGCCCGACACCTCACATCACATCACGCCCCTTTAGTTGCTCGACTCTGCAGAGCTACTATCGAGTGCCGAGGGTGATCCCTCATAATGCACCCCTGATGATAATTCTGTAGTGTAGCTATTCGGTCGTGGTCATCGAGGGTGATTTCCTCTTTCACCATTCCCGATACGGCTCTGTCGTTCAACACCTCAAATGTGAACCCCGAGGGTGGTCCCTCTTACGTTCACCTTGATGATTACATTGAGTGGAATCCACTGGGGGTGATTCCTCGGGTTTTCCTATTGATGTCTGGACGCATAGTTACCTTGACTTTACTCGAGACCATTGTTGAAGTCGGGTCGGCCCTGAGGGGTACCCGTGAGTTGATCTGAAAGTCGGGTGGGCCCGTAGAGCACCCGCGAATTTTCCACATGGCACGGACGGGCAGTCTGGGCCCTTGACGTAAGTCCATGAGACGGGGCGATGGGGTCACCTTATCGTGAGTCTCTGCTCGTTTCCGCAAGCCCCCAATGCACTAACTAGTTTGGGTATTTGTTCTGAGTTGGCCTCTGGCCCTTACGCACTAACCACCACACGAGAATAGGTATGGGCCTCGACGTCGCAGTATTAGCCAAAACTTTGCCAGACGTCCAGTTCAGTAGTGCGGCACGGTTGGGTCGTGTTGGCCATCCGAGGGGGTGCTGGTATTCACCCTGCTCGCAACGACCCAGAGTGATGCGGGCGATGGGCCCAAGACCACGGAGCGCTTAGGATGTAGACCGGCGGGGACCTCTCTGCTGAGCCTAGGTAGGGCTGCGACGTGTTGATCTTCCAAGGCCAGGCATTGACCCTAGAAAGGTGTGTCCGGCCAGAGTGATCGAGCGTGTTGGGTAACATGGTGCACCCCTGCAGGGAAGATATATATATTCGAATACCGTGGCCACGATAATGGACGTTCAGACTTATATCCTGATCTTATATAACTAGAAATGGATACTTGAGATATGTGATGGATATGTGGCTCCGAGATTGCTTTCTCGTAAGGAGTCGAGGAAGGATCTCTGGGCGTTGTTGTTACAACATGCTTGTTAATTAAACTGCTATTCTTTACTCTTCTACATGCTGCAAGATGCTCGGAGCTGCGTGAAGATGCTAGTCTTCGATAGGCTAGGCTTTCCCCCTCTATTCTGGCATTTTGCAGTTCAGTCCACAAATACAACCCTTCCATTTGATACAAATGCATACTTAGTGTAGATCTGATGCTTGCGAGTACTTTAGATGAGTACTCACGGTTGCTTTGCTACCCCTTTTCCCCCTTCTTTCTTCTTTTTGGTTGATGCAACCAGATGGTTGATCCTTGGAGCCAGATTCCATCGCCGGCGGATACTACTACATGGAGGCCGTCGAAGACCAGGAGTAGTTAGGAGGTCCCAGGCAGGAGGCCTTGCCTCTTCGATTGTGTTGCTTTTGTGTTAGCCTTCTTAAGGCATCCCTGTTTAACTTATGTCTGTACTTAGATATTGCTGCTTCCGCTGACTCTTGTGTATCGAGCTTGTATTCGAGCCCTCGAGGCCCCTGGCTTGTAATATAAAGCTTGTATTATTTTAATTTGTGTCTAGAGTTGTGTTGTGATATCTTCCCGTGGGTCCCTGATCTTGATCGTACACATTTGCGTGTATGATTAGTGTACGGTCGAATCGCGGGTGTCACACCAGGTTTGTCAACAGCACCGACTACAAGTTCGCCACGGTGGAAACCACCGACTATGTAAAAGCACTCAGGGTTACGGGCTTGGCCTGCAAGAACCTTGTCAAAATCTGTGAGCACTACAGGATCTGGGGCAGCACGAAGAAGGACTCCCACATTGAACTCGCCTAGGCCATCATCGACCCGTACTATGAAAAGATGAAGTAGGATGCCAACAGAACACGTCCCGTATCCTGGAACGGGGCCTGGATGCGGCAACTGGATGAACCTCACATCAAGTTCGCGGCCAAGAGCGTGTACACATGCTACGAGATGTACAGGCAGATCGTTGACATGAGGAAGTGCCTCGTTACCGAAATCGATGAGGCCGGATCAAGCCACAAGTAGAGCAGTAGCGGCAAGCGTCACAAGAAGTAGATGATGATCATTTATCCTAGTCAATTATGCATGTAATATATAGTTGACTTTGGTGTGTGGAAATATCATGTGTGTAGTAGCCACCTATGTAATTATGCATGTAATAGTTTACTTTGTTGTGTGCAAATGTCATGTGTGCAGCAGCCACCTATGTAATTGGATGTTTAATTTGGTTATGCAACCATGTCCTTACAAGTGTGTGTGTGTCTATATATATATATATATTTGTTCTGTATGCAATGCCAACGAACAACACACATGTCTTATTAGCAGCAATCGTTTGTGTTATTATCAATCTTCGCACACATTTCTGATTACAGATCTGTTTGCCGTCTATCACACACATCTTGTTAAATTGAACTGTTTCTGTTATCTTTGCTCAACGCAAACAGTTCATCTGACTGAACTGTTTGCCCTCTATCGCACACACCTTGATCTCGCTGACCTTTTTTTGTTCTGCCTATTCACAAACAGTTCATCCGAGTGAACCGTATGTCGTATATCACACACACTTTCATCTGGCTGCCCGTTTTTTTTCTTCTGCCTCATCACAAATAGTTCATTGAACTGAACTGTATGCTCCTCATCGCACACGCAACTAAATTCTGAACCGTATTTGATGCATATGTTATCGCAAATGTTTTGCATCTTTTTTCCATCATCGTTTGCGACTATTGCATCGCACACAGTTTTGTTGAAGGGTCTCTGATCGTAGTGTCGCGTTAGCAGCATCCTGCGGTAGTGACACAACTTAGTATTCTCAGCAATGAAACTCATTATTACTATTTTTTGTGGGTGTGCAGTGAAACCCATTACAACTAAGTAAAAAAATCTATTGCATGCTGAAAGAAAAATATTTTTGTTATTTTTCATGTATAAGGTAATGCATTAAATTAAACTAAGATAAATAAAAATAACTAAGCAAAGTAGATGTTGTTTAATTTGTAGGAATATAATCCGTAGGAATGATTCTTAGGGAAATTTTCCTAGTTTATTTCATTGGAAATTTTGCATGAAGCATGAGCTCTTGAAAAAAGATCATATGCTTCATGTAAAAGACACTTGTACCAAATTTCTTTCTGTTTTAATCCATAAGGTTCAAATAGGCAGGGCATAGGAATCCTCCATTTTTTTCCATCATACTTCTTTTGAGTAATCTAAAATATCTTGTATTAGTTTGTAGTGTTAGTATTTTCCAAAAATACAAAGGTGTAAATGGTTGGACGCGCACCCACGTGAATAGTAAATTCAAAAAAATACTAGAAAGATTAAAAAAATCTAAAAATTTTGGGTAACAAACTTGGTCAGTCATTCTACTCACGTGTGAAGTTTCATGAAGTATTGACACCCATGATATTCTTAGTGAACACAATACAATTGGGACCTTACTATTCTTTAAACAATGTTTTTTTAATATTGCTTCGACTTTGTCATTTTTGCCCCGAATAACAAGGATGTAAATTTTTTGTGAAACTTCATACGCGGGTATACCTATTGACTAAGATGTTATAAAAAATATTCATAATTTGTTTTATTTTTTCTCGTAATTTTTTTAAATTTACTATTCATAAAAGGTGCGCGTGGAATCATGCTTACCAAATCCGCGTCCTAGTAATTTTTTTTCCTATCGTGTGAATTAAATCAAAGAGCCATGAGCATTATGTTTCCTCAAAAATATAAAAATAAAAATATGTAGTATGTTTCTAGGAGAACATAGAGAACAGAGTGACCAACGATCAGAAGTGGCGCGGATGTATAGCATGTGCCTACTAATTTTTCACCGTGCCACACCCACCAATACGGTCACTTCCCACCCGTTTCCATATATAACGGTCAACTACCTCCTCGTCCCTAACCTCCACAGCCCTCTTCTCCCCTCCTCTCACCCAAGCACGCCAACGCACACTCAAGTCTCCAATGGCCAACGAGCACTTCTTCCCCGGCGAGTACTTTTCCTCCGGCCTCGCCGCGTCGTTCCTTGGCGCATCCTACGTGCAGCCGCCGTGTTCAGGGTTCGAGGCCGCCGCGGCTATGGCCTTCGGGCTGCCGTGGGCGGACCAGCATCTTCCAGTAGACTCCTCAGCCACCACGGCGCACTTTGACTCCGCGCTCAGCTCTCTGGTCTCGTCTCCTGCCAGCGCCACCGCCGGCGGAGGCTTAGGCTTCGCGCACGGCGGCGAGGATGACGTCGCCATCGGCGACCTGATCGGCCGGCTCGGTAGCATCTGCAACGGCGCCAGCGCCAACAACTCCTGCTACAGCACGCCTATCAGCTCCCCTCCACGCGGGGCGCCGCAGGCGTTCCGGGGCTACGGCGCCATCGCCGCGCTGGAGACCGGCAGGCTATCCCGGGTGTCAAGCAGCAAGTCGCTCGTCGGCAACACCTCCGGCGTTGCCGCGACGGCACCATTGGATCAGAGCGCCCAACTGGAGATGAGCCCCGAGACGGACAGCCAGCCCGCAACCGCAGTGCAGGACCCGCCCACGAAAAAGGGCGCCGCCGGTTCCGCGCGGAAGCGCAAGGCGGCCCCGGCGAAGGGCAAGGCGAAGGCTTCTTTACCCGCAGTACAGCCCAGTTGCTCCGTCAGTGCTTCTTCTCCCTCTCATTTCACAGATGTTGGCATCAATCAAGGCCCAGTTCGTTGGTGATACTATGCCAAGTAACTCCGTGGATAATATATAAATTATTGGCGCAAATGCAGATGGCGGCAATCAATACGAGCCCGCCGAAGCGGCCGAGGGTCGCCGACGGCAGCAACGACGAAAACCCAGGCGCGGTGGAGGAGGAGAAGGCGGAGCCGGCCAAGGACTACATCCATGTGAGGGCGAGGAGGGGGCAGGCAACCGATAGTCACAGCCTCGCCGAGAGGGTACGGTACCTACCGAGCTCCTACCTATCCTAGCTGATACTACACATTAATTCCCAAATCCAAATGCACGTCACTGTAATTTACTCCCTCCGTCTCAAAATGCAAGACGTTTTTTGACACTGTGATAGTGGAAAATAACATCTTACATTTTGGGAATCACTTGAGCGTACTACTACCTTGTGGTTGTTATTCAAAAAGAATTCATGTGTGAAGACTTTGCTTGTTCTTACTTGGTAGGTGAGGAGGGAGAAGATCGGTGAGAGGATGAAGCTGCTGCAGTCCCTGGTGCCAAGCTGCAACAAGGTACTACTGTATGTGTTTATGCATGTATGAACACACCGGAGCCGCAATTTCCTTGAGGTCAAATTCTCTTACTAACTTGGACGGTTAGCATGCATGTGAAGGCGGGTACGCATAGATAACGTTCTGGAGACTGTGTCCATGTCTAAAATACTTTCATTTGAACAAACGAAATTCGTACTACTCCATACTTAGATGTTGTTGTCAGCTACCGTTTGTTCATTAGCTATTTGTTAGACAAGTTCATTAGCTACTAATCGCTACTGAGGATGTAATTATATAGTAGTTGGACTTTTTGCTAGCTAGAGCGACTCCTCCACCGAAAGTAGGAAGAAAGCGAGCTAGCTATGGTGAAGTCTGGGATTTGGAGGCAGTAATTTAGTAATTTGGACCGTAGTGGTCCAAGAGCTAGCTAAGCTAGCAGCACTAGTCATAATTAGTTGCGACGTTCCGGCTTTTGGTGGAGGATGATTTGTTAATCAATGGAAGGTGCGGGTGGTTTAGGTGGCGCGCACGATTACTTTAGTGCCCAATTATTGCGGCGGCGGTCAAATTTTGGTTTGTTTAAATTTTTCTCCTTGCGTTTTTTAGCTGCTTAATTATTAACCATCACATGCGATTGTGCGGTGGACAGATCACCGGCAAGGCACTTATGCTCGACGAGATCATCAACTACGTCCAGTCGCTGCAGCGTCAGGTCGAGGTATAACCACCAAAGATGCAACATGCATGTCGCAACACTCAACTTTCTTTCTTTCTTTCTTTCAGAGCTGAACTAACTAATAATCTGTGCATTCCTTCAGTTTCTGTCCATGAAGTTGTCGACCATGAATCCTCAGTTGGAGCTCGACGAGCAGCAGATCCCGTCCAAAGAGGTGAGAGCTCATATGACACGTATATAAATCGAACTTGGCCGTCAATCTCCACAGCGGAACTTCTGCTAGACCAGTTGAATTGATGTGAGGGAGATAACCACGACTATTTCCATATGAACCAGATGGCAGTGCCCGGCTTCTCCTACGCCGGTTCACCCGTCGCCGTCGCGGCCGGCCACAGCCACGGGGCAGAGCTAGAAGGCACTTTCAGCTGGGAGCAAGACCTCCAGAGCATGGTGCAGATGGGGGGAGCCAGCAGCAGCCATAGGCAGGACCCCCAAGCTTTCTACGGCGAGTGAAATACCAGATCACCTTTCCTTGGTTTCTTCATGTCCTGAAAACGGCCGGTTCTCGATTCTGTGCTGAGGTTGCCCTGTTTGGCCCGTTCATGTCATTGAATGCAGGCAGTGGCCAGCCGGCGACTACAGTAAATCACATGAAGGTTGAACCATAAATGTGCCTGCCCCTGCCTTCTGTACATACGCCAGCCGCCCCTCTTTTCTCTTCTCCCTGCACAGCAGCTCAGAAACTATAACAATCATTACCACATGACAAACGAGAAACCAGCAGGTTTCAGGCTTTTGGGTGCAGATGCAGTGGCATGGCAGAGTAGTATGATTTTGGGTGTATGCGTGTTGAAAAATGACGAGAGGGGCCAGGGATTGTGTGATGAACTCCTGGTTGCATTGCATGCCCTAACTGTAGAAAGTACTCCCTCTGTAAATTAATATAAGAGCGTTTAGATAACTAAAATAGTGATCTAAATGCTCTTATATTAGTTTACGGAGGGAGTATGTTGTGGTAGTTTCTCAACCCGGAGAGGAGCCTAGGAAGGATGGCAACTTGGAAAGCATGAGAATGCAGAGAACAAAGAAAGTTACCTTCCCTTTTGGTGTTTAATTTATGTCGTAGATCAACCATGTCTTTGATCTCGTTTTTGTTTTGGATGCCTCTAGTATTTACTCCAACCAATGCCAACATGCATATTCCCCATGTGTTCCTTTTTTTCATTTTTTGCTATATCATTATGAGCCCACATCTTATGTAAATACTATATTTCCCCAACAGTGGATCAAAATACGGTAGGTCAAAGATCCAAAAAACATGTTGTCAGATTGTGTATCTGTGTGCTGTTCCTCAATGAATGTAGCTGATCCTACTGCACAGTTGAACCAGAGAAACCGTGGCTTCAACCATTAATGGCAGCACCTACAAAAGCAAGAGAAGAAATTACAGCCGTTGGGTAGGTACTACTAGTGCTTAGAAGTTAGAACCAAGACCCACTTGCATCAATCAGTGTTAATCATGAGCTTTGTTACCTTCCCATTTGCAATGATTGGTAGATGGGCGTGTCTGTTGCCATATCCTAATCACACACCCTTCCCACAGTGTATGTGTTGTGTACCTTGTGCGTGTGGAATCTAGAGGGGGGCCATTTCTTGGAACACAGCTAGCATGTGGGTCACATCCCATCCACCTCTCACTTTTGGCCTTTCTCTCCTGCCCTAGGAAATTCAACAATGCCACCAAGCTGACAACAAACAGGTAGGATGGTACTTCTTCAGAGTATCGTAGTAGTCCTTATTAAGGAGAGTCCACTTTCGGAACCTTAGGTTCCGCTGGTAATTCTTGTTGTTTTGTGAAGACCTTCCATAGGGCATCTTCAACGCTGTTCTCTAAATCGGACACCATATCAATCTGCGAAGTGGTGAGAACCAGTCAGCTGGCAATGTTGTGGGAGCCGGCCATCCAAAATTGTCCCCTAAACTTTCGTCTCTTTTTCTAAAAGTTCGCAAGTTCAAAATAATCACATATCAAATCAATGATTGAAAATGTTCAAATGCGACACTAGTTGTAATTTAAATATTACAACCCAACAAAGTTTTAAAATTAGAGTAGTTCAAACTTGAAATCAGCTAGCACCTATGGTCTAGTTGCTCCCTTTAACCGCCCATAGGTGCTCAATCAAATCTTTCTTCAGTTGATCATGAGTTGCTCGATGCCGAATTTGTTGATGCATTTTGATCTGGAAGTTCAAATCAATCATGTTCTCAAATTCAAGAGCTACGGCAACATCTTCACCCACGTCCTTCACGATCATGTTGTACATGATCACATAACATGTCATCATCTCCCACAAGATCTCCAGATTCCATTCTTTAGCAGTTCCACGGACAATGGCAAAACGGACATGGAGCACTCCAAATGCCCTCTTCACATCATTTCTAGTTGTTTCTTATCTTCGGGCAAGACGGGACATTTTTCTGACCAATTGGCTCAGAGACGGTTTGTGCAAAGGTAGCCCACGAAGGATAGATACTGTCAACCAGGTAGTAGCTCATGTTGTATTCATGTCCATTGACAGTATAGTTGCAAGGAGGAGCTTTCCCTTCAGTCAGCCTAGCAAACACTGGACACCGCTATGGCACATTGATGTCATTGTGAGATCCGGCCATGCCAAAAAAGTGTGCCAAATCCAGAGATCATGTGATGCAACTACTTCAAGAATGATGGTAGGCTTCTTAACAAGGCCCTTATATTGCCCTTGTAGAGCTTTTGGATAGTTCTATCATCTCCAGTGCATGCAATCAAGAGATCTGAGCATGCCTGTCCACCCTCTTGCTTTGGACATATCTGAGAGCCTCTCAGTGTGCGATAATTGGTTCTCTCAAGAACTGACGTCCAAACACCTCATGTGTCTACAAGTTAATTATTGGACATGCATCATGTAATCTCAAATCCAACGTATTCAGTCCAACATAAAGAAACTTGAAAGAGCGAGACTCAATTCACCCCAAAAAGGATAGAGGGGAAAGAACATCATATGATCCAACTTTATTAATAAAGCTCAGATACAATCAAGATCGAGTCCATCAAGAACATGAGAGAGAGAGGGGGGATCAAACGCATAGCTACTAGTACATACCTCGGCTCACACACCATCATAAGAACGGAGGAGTTGTTGGTGATGGTGATAATAGAGATGTCCCCGGCAGCGTCTCGGTGCCACTGGAGGAGAGGAGGAACCTTCTTCTTACTCCTTGGCCGTTCGGGAGAGAGGGAGGTCTCCCCTAGATTGGATCTCTCTTATGTCTTTTGTATTTTGTGACTGATTTTATACTTGGAGATCCTTATCTCCGATCGAGCTGAAATTTTGAGGGGATTTTCCTGCGGAAATTAGCTTTATTGCGGTGAAAGAAGAGCTCCAACCGACTGAAGGGCTAGCCACAAGGGCCCATGGCGCAGCCAAGGGGTGGCCACGCCCCTGCCTTTGTGGGGCCCTCAAGCATAGTTTTGTGCTAATTCATTCGCCCAAAAATCACATATAATCTAGAAAAGTGCATATTAAATCACCGAGGTATTTTGACCTTGCGAGATATTGATTTTCTGTAAAACCAAAAGCAAGTAGAAAACATGAACTAGCACTGGGCAATAGATTAGTAGGTTAGTCTAGAAAAATAATATAAAGATGCACCAAAACCATATATAAATGATGTAAATATAGCATGAATACTTCATAAATTATAGATACGTGGGAGACGTATCGGTTGACATCGACTCGACGAAGCAATGGTGTGGGATTCCAGTGCAGGGTGGTCCGCCAAGGTGATGACGCAACTTGGCCGACGTTGGCTCGACGAAGCGATGGTGCGGGATGCAGGCACATGTCGGAATCTATGGAGCAATGAGGTCGGCCCGGTGAGATACCGGTGCGCCGGTGAAGAGCACCTCAGAATAGGACCAAATTTTGCATGCAAGTGCTTGAGAACATAGCATATGACCCCACAAAAATCCTCCTTAATTAAAAGTCGTCTGATAGGGCGCTCATGGGCAAAGATGAACTCAGGTTGGATCTGTTTCATGCAGAAAAAATATTCGCAAATTGATGCACCGGAGTTTGAACCATTGGATTGAACTAAAAGTTGGAGGGATTGTAGTCATGACAATTCTTCATAATCTGAACGGCTGGATCATAAAAACGATGCAAGACTTATTTGTTTTTGAATTATTAAAACTCAAATCATTATTCCTTTTTCCCAATAAGGGTGAGGCATATGCTTGCACTCAGCTTTGTATAGGTAATTGAGTGGCTGACTAACGCAGACAAACAATTTTACTATCGTACCTTGTATGCCTCAGATTGGTATTTTTGAAGTGATCTCTAATGCATAATTTGGTTTGTCTACGACGGACATTTATTTGTTACCAACATAATATTGGCATCTGCTCTACACCTTGGCAATGGAAATTTTGACTCCACAAAAACATTTCTTCTTTCTTCACATTCATAGCAATGGGACTAAGAGGATTGCATGTATTACTCCCATGCTAGTTAACTTCTCAAGCTTGCACGGAGGATAAGGATACATTTTTGGAGGTTGGTATTCAATGTAAGCTATTTTTGCGGGGATCTTCAATGTAAGCTTAAGAGCTAGAAACAATGAGCATACTTAGTCAATTTCTTACTCAAGGGCGAGTAATATTTAATCTTTGGGAGGTTGATGGCTCTATTTTTTTACCCATTTAAAGCTCATTTATCGCATAAGTTGGAGAAGAAGCTCACGTCGGTGCTCATACCCTTGGTGCATAACTTGAAGAAGAAGCTCTCCGCCTGGCGGGCATCGATGCTCGGTGTGTATCCCAATATCCCTTGGTAGGCTTGACAACCGAGATCTCCATCGTCCTGGTGTGGACCTTCGTGCGCGATGGCTCTGGTTGCAATGCACCAACCCCTTGCGTCGGTGGCATCTACTTCACCTTCCTGTGACCCTCGACGTTCAGGAAATTTTCCATGCCTCTACCTTTTGGTCTTTGGAGATGGAAACACAACTCATTTCTGGAAAGATCATTGGATTGAAGGCAAGTCCATTTCAAAGCTTGCACCACTTATTTTCCTCCTTGTTCCACATCGACGGCGAAAATCCTGTTTTGTTCGGGAAGGTCTCCACCTTCGCTCCTATATCCAAGACATCCAGGGCGCACTCGATCCTATGGCCATGGTGCAATACATCGATCTATGGGACCGTCTCTGTCACTTCCCGCTCTCTGGCGACCCTGACAGGCTTGTATGGCGTTGGACAGTCTCCGGTGTTTACTCACCAGGTCCTGCTACGATGTCTTATTCTTGGGCTCTAGTGCAGGTCCGGTTTTCAAGCTCACTTGGAAGACATGGGCACCGTTGCGGGCCAAGGGTTTCATTTGTCTTGTCGTCCTGGACAGTGGAGAGGCTCGCTCGCCGTGGTCTACCCTATGTCGATCACTATGTGTTCTGTGATCACGTCCCCGAGGAACTGCAACACATACTCGTTGGATGCTCATTTTACGGGCAAGTTTGGCTTGAGCTCCTTTTTTGATGATGGCATTCCTTGACTGTTCTACTCTACGCTCACTACCATGCCGCCTTACGTGGTCTTGTGAGTTGTAGCCCTATGACTATTTTATTTTCTATTAGTC